TCCGCTCTAGTCTGAAGCATATGCTACATAAACGGCTGTGCAGCAGCTCGGAGTCTCAGCTCTGTCGATTGGACTCACTGCAACTTTGGTTGCCTTACTTCGTGAGACATCGCGTATCGTGGGCTATGCGGACGTGCCTCCATGGATGAAGTTGATTGCTGTTCACTATATTGATATGCTTTGCGATAAGATCTTATTGGCAATGGGTGGGCCTCTGTCGGAGGGGTGTTCTATCAATCTGATCGAGTGGATAAATGCGGCTCCAAACTACCCTCTTACGCTTCCACTGGTCTGTCGGTCAGCTAATGACTCATCGCAGGAGTTTATGGATATTGTTGATGGTGGCGAGGAGCTGGCGCCTCTCTCTTTGGAGGATATTGCTGTGAATCCGGCATCACCTGATAGTCGGCTCCGTACAGGCTCTCTGCTGAGCTCGGCTGAGTTTGAGGAGGAGGCGGTCCGATACAGAGCTATGATGAAGTCTCAATATGCTTATGAGGTCGACTCGATCAGTGGTCATCAGATGGATGTGATGCAGGCTTGTGCGAACTTCCGGTTGGTACCGTGGAGGGAAGGTGCTGGTCATAATACTATGTTCGACATAGAGCAGTGTATTCGGCGTGTGGACGATCGGCTCAACGGCAAGTGCTTCGCACGGCAGTTCTTGGTCTCTGGTGCTCCAGGGTCGGGAAAGAGCTGTTTGCTCAGAAGGTTGGTCATCTACTGTCTGAATAGTCAGAACGATCTCTTGCCTCTGGTGATTCCTGTGAGGGAGCTCGCCAAGAACTACGTCCTGTTGACTCAACATACTGATGAACGTTTGAGCACGTCGTCCTCTTCGAGTGCTGCTGCTGCCGGTGATAACTCCTGCTGCTTGTTCGACGCTGATGCCGACGGTCCTGATCCAGAGACGCTGCTGGAGGCTTGGATGAGATCCCGTCTTGGCGACGAGTCGAGCCGCCTGTATCTGATGCGCATGATGCTCGCTAGCGGTCGGTTGTTGATTCTCATGGATGGTCTCGAGGAAGCTGGCTCTGCCAAGTGTACAATAGAGAAGCTACTCTCATTGCTTGCTGTCAATAAGCATCGTGTCGTTTGCACCGTTAGGGAGGGCTACCTCAGTGATCACTCGCAAGAGAGTCTGACAGCTTCAGGTTTTGAAGGCTCGAGCCTCTCGTTGCTGGATGCTGAACAATGTCGGTTCGTGGCTAATGCTCGCCTTGGTCAGGCTAGTGCTGCGAAGTTCGAGGACTTTCTGAACGAGTTCCGGGATAAGGTCGCCAGTTCGCCAGAGGGCGTCGAGTTCATCAACACCCCGGCTTGCCTGAACATGCTGCTATGTTATTGGGAGCAGAAGCATCCAGTCCGGTCGGACTCGGGCAGAAGGGCAAGCATCAGTTCTTTGTGTAGGGATCGCTCTTCTGGTCGGACTCCAATGCCAGCTTCAACACGATGAGGAGGATCGAATCCCAGCCCCTCGATGAGGAGGACCTCTCGGGGCCGATGCTACCCCAGGCCCCTCCAATGCTTGCGTCTTCGCCGAGCCGCATGATCAGCGGACTGTTAACGCCGACCGACGACGGTTCACAAGGCGATCCCAACAGCTTGTCGATCTCGGATGTTTACCGAGTTTCGATGTCCGTGTTGCTCCAGAGGGTTGTTATGAAGCATCAAGCCGACCGTGCTAAGGTGAAGGACACTGTTGACCGATACAGAACCCTCTTGGAGACGATCGCTTTCTTTATGATGGTCGAGCGGAAGAACCGTTTCTCGGAGGACGACGTTGTGAGATGGGGTCTCGTCAAATCTGAGTCTAACTCGGCAGCCTGGAGAGGTCTTTCTCTGTCTATCAGTAGAGGTCGCCTGCCGCTCCTTGCTAGGCTGGCGGGTTCTAAGGAGACTTCGAAGCTATATCGGTTCGTCTTTGCTTCCTTCCAGGACTTTCTGGCGAGCGGAGCTTTGACAAGGGGCCTCCGGGACGAAGAAGAACTACCCTCTCTAGAAGAATTGCTTGGGGCCGGCTCGCATGGGGACGACTGGTGGAACACTTTTCTGAACATGGTCGTGGACAGGAGTCCATCGAAATTCAAGAAGCTTTTCGAGAGGCGGTGTTGTAACTGGAAGCCCAGCGAACATGACGGTGACACGCCGCTGCATGCAGCTGCGCGGAATCGACGGCTTACTATTTTCGTGGCTCTGCCGCAGCTGAGCGAATGTGTGCGGAAGTATATGAATGTCTACAACAACAAAGGGTTGCTTCCTCTCCATGAGGCTGCCAAAGCAGGCAATGCTATGGCTTGTGAAGCTATGATCTCGGGAGGTTACGCCGATCTCTGGGCTCAAGCGAAATACTCGGGCTGGGTGCCGTTGCATTTTGCTGCTGCTAATCACCAGAAAGCTGTCATTGACGTTCTGCTGGAGGCCGCGAGGAAGGAAGGGGCTCTGCTCGGAAGTCGAGAAGGTCGCCGGGTTGCCCTGCCGAAGCTGCAAGTGTGTGGTCATCAGTTAGCTATGGACATCGTCTCGAAGGACTGTACGCTGACTGATGAGGAGTTCGTGTCGAGAGCGAAGAAAACTTTCCCTGAGCTCTCCTACTTCCGCGGGCGAAGCGATACTACTCCCGATCAAAGTGCTGCTGTTGCACTTGACCCAGCTGATATTGAGTTCCGGCGTACTATGGGTGCGCTGCTCTCGGTATTCTGGGTATGTGCCGATCGGTATGACGACTTCGTGCGGAACCAACCTCCAAGCAACAGGCTCTCGAAGGAGAACTGGAGTCATCTTCAGCGGTGGGTTAGGAACGTCGTTAAGCTGACCGACCCGCAAGAGCCAGACGCTGTCGATGCGATGCTATGCTTCATGTCGATACATGACTTGGGTAAGATGAAGGACTTCAGAGAGGAGTTGGCTCCAGGATATCAGGACCACGACGCTGGTCTGTCGTACATCCTGAGCAGGTCGCCTGAGGTGCTCCCGAGCTACTGTCGTCTTCCCGACAAGTACCAGCTCTTGATCGAGACTTCTCTGAAGGTGGATTTCAACTTCGGTCAATTTCTGCAAGCTGAGAACCTGCCCGCGAACATCAAGAATGTGAAGTCGTTACTCGGGAATAAGGGTGATGTTGCTCTAGCTTTCTACCTCTTCCATATCTTCGCGGATATGGCCGGCATTATGGGAGCTAAGAGCCTTGATGGAAGTATGTTTATGACAGAGACCATGTTCAACAACTTCAAGAAGGGTCTTACTACTCTGCAGCTGCTAACGCACGAGACCATGAATGACACCTACGACTCCTTCTTGAAACTGCGTGCCAAAGAGCAGGGTCTTGCATTCCAGACTCCGACTGACAGGGCGATCATCAGGTTAGCCTGCTGTTCGCGAGTTTTCGATGAAGAGGGTGGTCGAGCGGTATTGGACGCGTGGAATCAGCTGGAGCCGAACGAGCAGACCAAGCTCACTGACTATCTCAACCGCGACGGAATTCACAAGTCGCCTGGTTTCCTTATCTACTATATGCCGGCTTTCATGGAGAACGCTCGGAAGAATCCTGATGTCGGTTTGGTTCTGGCGATGCGCCTTCTCTTGAGGATCTATGATGCTGCTGCTGTGGAGTATGGGGTGTCTTCTGAACCTTACGGAGATGCCTTGCACTATCCTGGTTCGCAATCAGAAAGGTCGGCCTCGGAGGATTCGGATGTTATCACCATTCACATCGCGGAGGTCGCTGAACTTGCTCGCCAATGTGACTCGGCTGTTGTCTTCAAGTCTACCTTTTTCCGCATCCACCGAGCTGAGGGAGACCGGGGTAAGTGCGAGGGGCAAGTCCGGCTGGCACCGTGGCGGCTGTGGACGTCGGAGGAGAAACTTGCGGCACTGAGTGCTTTTGGCCGGGAAAATGCTGAGTTCTTGCTGGGGGGTAGCTGCGAGCAGACAAAGCTCCTCGATGATTTCAAGAGGATCTACCCGGAGCTGCAGTACTTCCGAGACACTATCGGGAATACTGATTGTTCTCCTGATGCGATTCACCCTTCTGCTACGCTTTCAGACAGTGAATCTGAGTATAGGCGGACTGTTTGCGCGATGCTCTGTGTCTACTGGATCTGCACTGACAACTACGGTGACTTCACGAAGAACCAGACTCCAGCTGAGCGACTTAGTCATGAGAGTTGGCGCAGGCTGCAGTGGTGGGTCAAGAACGTTGTGAAACTGACGGGTGATCCCATTGCGGTGGATGCGATGCTATGTTTCATGGCCATTCACGACTTGGGCAAGATCCGTGATATCCGAAGGGACTTGTCTCCGGGTATTCGAGATCACGACAAAGCTCTCTTGTATATCATCGAGAATACCCCCGCAGTACTCCCTAGCTATCTGAGGTTGCCTGCCTTCTACCAGAAGCTGATACATTCCGCACTTACTGTGGAGTTCAACTTTGGTCAGTTTCTGCAGGGCGAAAATCTGCCGGCCAACTTGGTGAAGGTGAAGACTATGCTGGGTGACGAGGGGAAGGATGCTTTGTCGTTCTATCTGTTCCACATCTTCGTTGACATTGCTGGTAGCTCCGGCACCCGCACTTGGGAGGGAAGTTTGAACATGGATCAGTCTCTATACAGTACCTTCCAGGATGGCGTCAACTGTTTGGAGATGCTTACCACGGAGAGCGTCGATGATGTGTACAAGTCGTACTTGACTAGGCGAGCGCGGGCGACTGGGGCAGATGTGGTCAACAGAGCAGACTTCGCTCTGGCCCGGCTGAGCTGTCAAGCCCGTGTCAGTGACTTTAGTGATGCCGAGGAAGTCACAGCTGTGTGGAACGAAGGGTTGACTCCAGCAGAGCGCTCGGCCCTCACGGAATTTCTCACTAGAGATGGTATTGTTGGTCGCCCCGGCTACCTTGTTTACTATGCTCCCGCTTTCTTGTGCAACTGCAAGCGGAATGACTCCGTGGGCCTGTTATCTGCTGTGAGGATGCTTTTGAAAGTCTACGAGACTGCTGAAGACGAGTTTGGTGACGCTGCGCTGTACCAAGATGGCTACGTCACAATCCACATTAAGGATTTGGCTATTCTTGGAGCTACATATTCTGCCCGAATGCCCTTCGACCAGATGAAACTGTTCCTGACCAAGATTAACGCTTCCGAGGCGATGGTCGAGGGGAAGCCCTGGATTCCAGTCACAGATGAAGTGAGACATCGAACTCGAATCTTCGTGCTTGTCGACGTGTGTGTGTAGCGTGCTGTGACTTACGTGTTAGTCGTACAAGTCTGTTCTTTTCAGGCGCTACTGGCTCGTCATCGGAATGCGGGCTTGCGCTTAGCGCAGGATATCTTGAGCAACTCATGCACAGAGACCGACTTCCTGCTGCAGATCCGTTCTGTCTATCCCGAGTTGGGCTACTTCAAGGGGCGGATTGATCTCACTCCTGATGCCTCGGCTTCAGTACCGCTCGCTGCCGCAGAAGTTGAGAGTTTGAGGACCCAAGGGGCGATGCTGAGTGTATTCTGGGTGTGCTCTAACCAGTACGACCAGTTTGTGAGGGGGCAGAATCCTAAGGATCGTCTCAGCGAGCGCTCTTGGCAAGCTATTCGGCAGTGGATTACCGACGTGGTGAAGATCAAGACTGTACGCGACGCGGAGCTCCTGGATGCCTTTCTGTGCTTCACAGCGATCCACGACCTCGGTAAGATGAACGACTTCCGAGCAGATGTTGTACCTCACGAAATTCGTGACCACGACGCTGCTCTTGGGTACATCATGGACCACTGTCCTGAAGTTCTGCCTAGCTATAAGAGCCTGTCCGACCACTACAAGGACTTAATACGGACTTCACTTCGTGTTAACTTCAACTTTGGACAGTTCCTCCAGGGTGAGAATCTACCGGCAAATCTGGTCGGCGTGAAGCGGCTTTTCAAGGACAAGACCACTGATGCTATGCCCTTTTTCCTATTCCACATATTTGCTGATATGTCTGGGATTTTGGGTGCGAGATCTCTGGAAGGAAGCCTCTTCATGACTGAGACCATGTACAACAACTTCGCCCGAGGAATTGACGCCCTCCAGGAGCTACAGACTGGTTCTCCTCGGGATGTATATGATCGCTTTCTTCTCAAACGAGCGGCTGAGAGCTTCCCGAAGATCACTAATAGAGCGGATCGAGCATTTGCAAGGCTGGTGTGTCTATGTCGTATCTTCAACCCAGCTGACACGCGGCTACTGCAAGATGCCTTCGACGACTTGCCTGCTGCCAAGCGTGAGGAGCTTGTAGAGCACCTCAACAGAGATGGTATTGACGAGAAGCCCGCGTATCTGCTGTATTATGCACCAGCGTTCATGGAGAACTGCAAGCGGAATCCGGTTCTCGGTCTTGGTCCTGCTTTGAAGCTGTTGGTGAGAATCTATGAATTGGTCGACGAGGCTTTCAAGGTTGACTCTACATCTCCAAAGGAGGAGCCCGATGACTCAGAGGTCGACGATAATGTGAAGACTGAGGTGGCCGTTTCTAGCAGTGTTGGATGCACTACAGATGCAACTGGTGCACCCTGTGAAGTTGAAAAACCTACAAGCTCGTCGCCTGACCACCTCCCAGGGGTGGTGACTGCTCATTTGCGAGAGGCTGCGGACTGGGTGAAACAGTTGCGGGACTACTCGCAATTCTCAGAGAATCGGCTCGTTATGCAACGCATTAGTCCGAATGAGGCTGTCGTCCACGTGGTATCACTCTCTGTGAATATGTAGTCTTTTCTTGGCAGTGCTGCGGTTTCAGTCGAGCCGTTCCCTTGGCGGTTTCTGCCGTTATTTTTCAAGTGTATCTGAGATAGTTGATTAAAAGTATTCATTGTAGTTCATTTGTTACCATTGAGAGGTATTGGTCGGTACACTGGAGTCACCTCTTCATTGTCATTACTATTATATTGCTCTTCGTCACTGGATTAGCTGTGTATAGGATCAGCGCATCCATTTTCTCAGTCCGTGATGACTGGTTCAGTGACCGGCTCTTCTATACCTGCTATGCTGATGTTGGGTTGATAGTAGTTGTAATTTGACTGGGGGCATTCCTCTCGGAGAGGCCATGAGAGTCGTAGGACCACGAATATATTTTCGGTGGTTGTTGAGTTCTGTTGTAAAATGCTCATTCGACACAGGCTTGGTGATAGTTTGCCCATCTCTGATGCCGATCTTTGTGCTCCTCAGCTCAGTGTGTTATCCTTTTTTACCGCTGACCTCAATGGTCGGTCGAAAAAGGCGAGGGCTTCATCTCGCCCTTTGAATGAATCCGAGTTCCGAGGTGGTTGGAATGATACGACAGAGCCAGCACTAATCCGAATGCAATCGTGCGATAGATGTGTTCAGTCATACGATGCCATTCCTGGACACTGGAGAATGCGGTGTTTCGTTGATATGGAATGGAGCTCACGGATGGCTCAGGTTGAGATAGCTGACATGTCGTCTGCGCCGTCTGTATCGAACAGCCCCTCGTCCGTGGTACCGCAGATAGACGGAATTACTGACAAAGTTGATGGGGATAATGCGAATCGCGGCTTAGGTAAATTGACACCGAACGACTGACGCCTCTTCATTCGTGAGTGGCAACATGGGTGACACTGTGCTCTGATGTGTCCGTCGGAGTAGGCATGCTTTTCAGGGCTGAAGCAGAGGATTCGGGACTTGCAACGCACCGTGGAGACTGAGGTGGATCTTCACGGCTGCTGGGCGGGTGCATCCGGAAATATTACTCGTCGAGGTCCTGACTGCAAGGAA